GCTGGAATGGATCCCCAATAAATCCCCTTTTGCCAATTGCATGGAGTAAGTCTCTTGTGTGGTCTCTCCCTCCGACGCTCCGCCGGACCCCTCTTACATTACCATAAGAAAGAGTATTTGATCCTTTCGATAAAGGACATCTACTTTTGCTGGGACAATGAAGAAAAGTAGATTGCTTGGGAGAGAAGTTGGCAAGCCATAGGTGGGGCTCGTGCCCCCTCTTGGAGCATTTGAATAAGCAAGTAGGAAAGTAGTCTTGGTTGAGCAAACTGCATACAATAATATTTGCAGTGGAAAAGTTCGAGGTGTATTTGGAAGTGAGTAAATAAGCCATTTCAATGAGAACTGGGTAAATCAATAGGACAAAGAGACTGATTAGATATGGAGTGGAAGAGACTGGGAGAAGCCCCTGTGACTCATAGCCAGGAGGAAGTGGATCATTAACAGCTTGTGAACTATTCAATATTGGACACATGGAACTTGGGGTAGCAATGAAATACCCAGCTAGTATTGGAAATTCAGATCAGGGGCCATGGGGGGAAATCTCTGGGCCAGAAAAAAATTAGTGCCTCAGAGGTGAGATGAAGCTAGAGCAGCTGCGCAAGGACTGGCCCTTGGGGAATACCTGCAAGGTCTAGTGAGGGAGATAAGAAAGATACAGGATGGAACAAATACCGCATGGCTTCTGTAAGTATGATAATCACAGAGGGAAGGGCAGGCCGTGCACCAGCAAAAGACCACACAGTCTCATTCTTTCTTCTTCATTTTTTTTTTTTTCCTTCACAGGAACCACCAAAATTTTTGTGTTTAATAACAAAGAGCACAACTGACCAAGTTCCAAACCTGGAGGTCAGGAGAGAGAGATCACTCTAAAAACTAATTGCATAGTATGTGGTAAGAATGCACTATAACATAAAAACTTGTTTACACATAGTAGTTAGTTGCAAAAATGTCATTCTGTCTTCTCTTGGCTTGGAAAAAAGGTGTTCCAGTGTAATTAGCAACCTACAACTCTTTTGTGTAGCAGGTATCATGTTTTCACCTTCCAGTTCTTCTACCCCAGCCCAGTGTCAGGAGGTCTGTGATATTTTTTCCACAGATCATCGAGGTGACTACTCGTACCGTTAATTCTTCCAAATATGTGCTTGTACGTGGCCTGAAATTTATCTTGCATCTGCTGCAGGAGTGTCTGCACCACTCTGGTGAAGTCATGCACCATCTTGAGATCAGTCTCTGCCATGTCCTCAGTTCCCAGTTTGGCTACAATGTCTCAGACCATCACCCACACTTCCATTTGTCCACCAACAAAGGCTCTTTCAAGAAAGAATGAGTGATAAGTGTTACAGGGCTGGGCCTTCCAGGAAACTGAAGCAATATGAAGACCTCCCCCCTTTAAGCCCCAATTCTTTTGGTCAATCAGAAAAATTTCAGACAGTTCGCTCAGATTAACAGTTTATTAGAAGGGATGGGAAAGGGGTAAAGGGAACACTCTCAAAGGAGAGAGTGGGTCCACTCGAAGAGGAGAGGGACAATGTGCCTCTCCTGTTGAGAGCCACAGTTTAGTCTGAATGAAGCCTGGCATTTTGCTAGAGGGAATGGTTGAAAGGTGACCCTGCTTCGGGAATAGGGTGGCTCCAGGATTAGGATGGATCCTGCTGGGAATTGGGTGGCTCCAGGATTAGGATGGATCCTGCTGGGAATAGGGTGGCTCCACGATTAGGGTGGATCCTGCTAGGAATAGGGCGGCTCCAGGATTAAGGCGGACAGCAGGATAACATCAGACTTTCAAGTCCCCACTGCTAAGACAATTTTAGATTACTTTGGCCTATGCTAACTTGTTCTAATTGGATTCTTAAACATAAATTCTTACAAATTTTATGGTTAGGAGGAATTATCCTTGTCTCCCTGAGTTCTGGGATCTGGTCTGTTAAAAAGGCCACAAAAGTTTCCTCCTTCTTCAAGCTAACTTGGGTTCCTCTTATCAACACTATTTGGGGCCTCCATTTCTTCTGCAGGTAACAGGTAGTTTGCAGAGAAATGTGGCATTATCTTGTCCTCTTAAGCAGGTAAATTGCTTCTTCGAAAAGAAAGCATGTGGGGGTCAGCACAGTGGGCTCATTTTATAGAATTATTCCCTTCAACTCATGTTCCCACCTCTTAAATCTGATCTTTTTGAACCCAGAGGTGCTTAACAACTGAGCCACATCCACGGCCTTTTTTTTTTTTTTTGAGACAACTCCTTAAGTTGTTTAAAACCTTACTATGTTGCTGAAGCTGGCTTTGAACTTGCTATCCTGTTGCCCCAGCCTCCTGAGCTGAATTATAGGGGAGGATGTCTGTGCTTGGAAAGATCAGACCATTTTTGTAAGTCATTTGAAGGGAGGGATGGTGCCCACTGAACCATTCATCTGCTAACAGCAGAAACACAAGTGAAGACCAATTAAACTTGTTTAAAAAAGGGACATAGCCAGCTTTGCTGGGGTTGATTTACCCTTTCTGACTCTCTCTGTTGATCTTCTCAAATGAATTAATTAGCAAGTTTCTACTTCACCTTTATTCATTCAGAAAATGCAAATTGAAGAAAATATTTGATCAGGATAAAGCCAAAGCAAATGAATAAGACATCCAGATAAGTAACACTGGCCAAATCCTCATTACTGTCTATGCTCTAAGTACATCTTGTGTTATCCAAATTACACATACCAGATACCATTGTGTCTGCTTCCTTCCACTGAGACACAAGTTTATGTGTTCATCTTAATTAGTTCTCATGGTTCTAGATAAGACTATGATAACATCACTAAGTTAATAAATCACAATTTATTCAAGCATCTTGAAGAACCAAAGAGCTTCTAGCAATATAAATAATAACTATCATTAATTATATTTTATTCTAATAGAATGTGAAGTGTGGAGAAGCATAACATGACAAAAATGCTAGCTTGTTTTTGTTTCTGCAAAGTTTAGAAACAGCAAACTGAATCCCAGTGGCTTTAGAGTGTTTTCCATCCAATTTGAAGTTTTACTTATTTATTTATTATTACTATTATTTTAGGACTGGGAATTGAACCCAGGGGTGCTTTATCACTGAGACAAATTCCCAGCCCCCTTTTAAAAAATTTTTCTCATTTTGAGACAGGTTATTGCTAAATTGCTTAAGGCCTCGCTAAATTGCTGAGGACAGCTTTGAATTTGCAGTCCTTCTGCCTCAGCCTCCTGAGCTGCTGGAATTACAGGTGTGCACCATCACGCCCGGCTCAATGTGAGTTTTTTTGTTGTTGTTTGCATTTATCATGTTTGGTTCTAAACTATCTGGCTCAATGAGAACCAAAATGGTGCCCATCACATTTGCAGTCATATTCCCAGCACCTAGCGTGGTGCCTGATGTATATTTAGGATTCAATTATTGGATGAATGAATGAAAGGATTCAAAGTTTTCAAGGTGTGGAAGTCCCTAAGACAAACAAGTTAAAAACTTAGCAAGACATCTGCCATTGGCTTTCCTCTTTGAATTTCAGTTTGACACAAAAATTAGCCAGGTGTGATAAACATTCAAAGAAGTAGCACTTTCTTTGGAAAAAAAAATATTCCCTGGTTCCATAAAATGAACACTGAATGCATTTGAAATGGACCCCAAATTTGCAGTTCTTACTGAATTCACTTGAATGTGTTCCTTCATCCACTCATTCAAATCCACATATTTATTGTGTTTCCTATGTGATATTGGACCATTCTTTTTAATTTAATAGTAAAATCTGTATGTACTTCTTTTATTAGATTCATAAAATACTAATTTCTGACTTGCCCAGGATTTCTTGTGACATTATCTTGTATCTGTTTTCCAACACACTGTTGTGTTGGTAACAATTCATATTTGACAGCATCATCCTGGTGCCTGCTTGTAATACAGGACGGTCAGGGTAGCAGAGCTTTGGTCTTCTCATTAGCCTTTCTGCAATAATCCTCATTTTCCACATTAGGTCCACAGTACAGTCATTATTTGTATAAATCACACACTTTCAAATCATCTTAGCATGAATATTGCCAAGGAGCATGACTCATCTCAATCCCAAATTATTTCAACAGTTGTGTCAATAGCTATCAGACATATTCCCCACTTTTTGTAGCTATTTTATGACTAAATGAAAGGAATATAGATTTTGTGATAACATTGAGCAATTCCTTAACTTCTCTGCGTCTATCAACTCATCTGTAAAATTAAGGGATTGAATTAGGTTATCAGTTAAACTCCTAGACAATGATACAAGGTTAGGTCTCCAATGAGCTTGGATTGACCCTCAAAGCATTTTAAAAAATTCTCATTTATTGATAAACTTTTTAAATTGGGAGAGTTTCTATGAAAGTCTGGATTCCTGGTTTCTTTTGAAAAATCAAAATCTGAGTTCCCTGGAAAAATCTAGACTCAGGGACTCCCTGCCTGGTTTGCCCATTCTTTTATTCACAAACGTCAAGGGAGGAAGGCACAACTTACCCACCTCACTTCTGATAGTACCTGAGGATGGTCATACCCCATGCTCTGTCGTGGCAAAGTTCAGCAGGAGACAGAGAACCAGGTCCAGGAAGGGAAGCCCTTTTATTAGTCTAGAAAACTCTGTAAGGAAACAGGAAAACAAGAGACCCCACTTGTACCCTACCTTTGCTTACCACTCATGCTGTGGG